AGAACAAAGACACTCTTACCTGAATGTTCATTGCAGCACAGTTCACAATTGCAAAGATGTGGAATCAACCCAAATGCCCATCAACCTATCAGCGGATAATGAAAATGTGGTATACACACTATGTGGTATATATATTACTCAGTCATCAAAAAGACTGAAACTTAGAACAAGTTGTGCAAACTGATAAAGTTGGGCTATAAATACCTATGATTTCATCTCCCGAATACCACTTCTCATGCTGCTCACACAATATGGAAATGACATTACCAGAAAGGAACCCAGAGGCAAACTTTTTGTTTTAGACATCAAAGATCTGAGGCATGCAGAGGTAACACGACTCCTCCAAGGTCACACTGCAAGTCAGTGTCCATATCAAGGCCCAAATCCAGTTCCCTGGTGATCTTCCCCTATTCTGACACCCCCACTCCCACATCCCCTTCCTCAGAGACATGTTTGTCAAGTGAGGGACGTTATGTTTACAGAGTACAAGCAAGTGCGTGCACATACAATTCGAGGGGGGAGCCCGTCAGCATCGGTGTACCAGCTAGCATTGTCGTGAGAGGCTGCGTTCAGCGTCAGTGAATTATTTATTTATTTATTTATTTTGAGACGCTTTCAATGTGTTTGCCCATTTCGTGATAGGTGATTGACGAGCATACCTGCCCACACCACACTGAGCATTCAGCAGTTTTTAACCCCAAGTGGCATGACCCCTGTGTCCCACCCTCCGTATTCACCCAACCTTGCCCTAAGTGACTTTTTTGTTGTTGTTTCCCAAATGAAAAGAGTCTTCAAAGGGACTTTGCCGATGTGGAAGAGGTGGAAGAAAAAAAATGGCAGAAACACCAAAAGGCATCAAAATCAAGAAGTTCAAAAACCGTTTTGAGCAGTGGAAAAGCATCTCGGTAGGTATATTGCACCAAACGGAGAGTACTTTGAAGGTAACTGAAGTTTAAGCATGTGAGAATAAATATACAATTTTTACAAATAAATTCTGGATTTTGGTGGGGGAAGTCCTCCCTCATGGAAGGCTTCTTAAAAGCCTGGACAAGCAAACAAGAAAAGGATAGCAGTCATATTCGATTTCTGAGTGTCAACACCACTGCGTGGGATGTAGCATGCCTCAGTTGAGAAACGGTGTCACAGGGTTCCACACACTGCACCTCCCTTTTTGCTCTTCATGGTCATTCAAGGCTCAGGCCTCACAGTCATGCAGGACTGGGGGAGGATTAGAATAAGGAGGTCACTAAGTCATCTTTGGCTATGACATAAGTATTTTTTTTAAACTGCTTAAATAGAGACCAGATCCAATCACCACTTCACTCTCTGTGGATCATGAAAAAAACAGCATCAATATGTTTCCAAGGGGAACAGTCAGTCCACATTTTTAAATGAGATTTTTAAACTCTTCTTAAAGACTATTTTAGCAAGCAGTTTACATATAGGATGTAGTCATTGCACTGACATAGTACAATGTTTTTCTTGTTAAAAAAATAGTTTTACTATTGTCTTTGGAAACTTGTTGAGCATTTTTATAACTGACAAATTTACCAGATTTATAAGTAAATCAAAGTGCACATAATCAAAAAGTTTTACCCAAAATTTCCAATGAAAATGTAAAATGGTGTTTTATGGCTAAAATCCCAAAAGCAAATGGAACAAAAGCAAAAATAAATAAGTGGGGCTTCATTAAATTAAAAAGCTTCTCCACCGTAAAAGAAATGTTCAGCAGAGCAAATAGGCAACCTACACAAGGGAAAAGAGATTTGCAAACTGTATTTCTGACAAAGGACTAATATCCAGAATCCACAAAGAATTCAAACAAATCAGCAAGAAAAAAGCAAATAATCCCATTAAAAACCGGGCAATTGGCATGAATGGACATCTCTCAAAAGAAGACATATAAATGGCCAACAAACATGAAAAAAAAATGTGGTCAATATCACTAAGTGCCAGGGAATGCAAATTAAAACTACAGTGAGAAACCACCTTACTCCAGTCAGAATGGTCATTATTTAAAAAATCAAAAAGCAATAAATGCTGGCACAGCATGTATGTGACCTGGAGTTAAACACCACTAGAAGCTACAGGCTGGCACAGATGCAAAGAAAAGGGAACACTTATAAGCTGTTAGTGGGAGTGTAAATTAGTACAACCTCTGTGGAAAGTGGTATGAAGATGACTCAAAGAACTAAAAGTAGATCTACCATTTGATCCAGCAATGCCACTACTAGGTATCTACCCTAAGGAACAGAGGTTGTTATATAACAAAGGCACTCTTACCCGAATGTTCATCGCAGACAGTTCACAGTTGCAAAGATGTGGAATCAACCCAAATGCCCATCAATCTATCAGCGGATACTGAAAATGTGGTATATATACCTTTTGATGGAATACTACTCAGCCATCAAAAGGAATGAAATTATGTCTTTTGCAGCAACTTGGATGATGGAATTGGAGAACATTGTGCTAAGTGAACTAAGGCAGGAACAGAAAACCAAACACCACATATTCTCACTTATAAGTGGCAGCTAAACTGAGACTCTGCAAAGGCATCGGGAATGATAATAATGGACATTGGAGACCCAGAAGGAGAAATGTGTATGTGCATATATATGCATGTATACTTGTAGCAGTTGAGAAAGTTCTGGAGAAACAAGTTCACATCAGAAGGCACACAGGTTCTGAAAGAGTATTGGCTCACTGGGAGCTGAGGTACAATGTGGCTGCTGAGAGCAGAAAACCTTGACCCGGAGTTAAACCCCACAAGAAGCTACATTAAGCACAAAACATCCTCTGTGCTCTTCACCCTCCAGCCAGTCCCCAAAGCTGGACACATTTACGGGAGCCGCCCTTCCAGAGGAACAGACACAAACCTGGCCAGAGACAGGGAAAGGGCAGAGGGAAAAGGAGGGACCTATAACCCACAAAACAGAGTGTGGAGTGGGAACAGGGTGTGAGACTATTTCAAATACAAGGCATGTGATTGTTCTGGAATATGTGGGTCCCGACCATCTCCCAAAGACGCCGTTGAAAGGATTCTGTGTGGGAGGCGGCATGTCCTCAACACAACACCCTCGCAGCTCTGGGATCCTGTGGCTTTTGACGGAAGCAAAAACACATCTATCGTACAGGGTAGTGGGCTAGAGCATTTCATTTCCTTCCTGGGAAGGAATATACTCTAGAGGAGAGAATGTGTGACAGCTAACCACGCCCCTAGGAGATGTGTGCTGATGTATAGACAACTTTGCTGACCTAGAAGATGCTGCACAGACTTAGCTCACCACTTCCATCCCACTTAGCCACATGACCAACCAGAGGATCAGCCCAAGAAGCTAGACAGTAAGGGCAGATGGTCAGCAGGAAAGTCTGAGCTGATGGGCGTTGCAGGGAGGGACTCATGGCCGGTCTCCCCGTGTGGCCACACTCCTCAGCAAAGGTGGGCATCAGATTCCCTTGCCTTTCTTCCTAAACATGCATGCTTCTGAGCCATATGCCAGATCCAGTGAGTCAGAATTGCCTGGGGAGGGAACCAGAAAATTCCCAACCACGAGCTCCCAGATGCCTTCGTGCTCTTACCAGGGCCTGTGTCCTGGAGCAGCTTTCACACTGCAGTGTGCGTTATAGTTGCCGGGAGCCTGCAAGCCAGGGTTCTGAGCCCCAGAGGTCCTGAATCATGAACCTCAAGTGAGGCCAAGAATCTTTTTCTCAAACGACCTTCCCGCAGTCCTGAGGTACAGGCCGGTGGTCACCCATCAGTTCCCTACCTTGTAGAATTCCCTACTCCACCATCAAAGAACATGACACTTGGGGTCCCTTTTCCTGGCAGCCATGCCCTTGGCAAACGTGGTCTTGGTGGGGGCCAGGCCCTGTGACTCATTTATGAACAGAATGGGCAAGACAAAAACGATGTCACATCTACAACACAGTTGGGAGAAGATAGTGACTCCCCCCTCACACTGGCCCTCCCCTCATAACTCCCCTACTGATGCCTGTGAGGGGGATGGATCCTTCTCAAGTGGGACTTGAGACAGCCCAGCCCTGTGGACACCCCCATGTTAGCCTGCGGGGGGCCAGCTAAGTCACACTGGGACACCTGCCCTACAGACTATGGGGTGGCACAGGTAGCTCAGGTCACTCAGCATGCCAGTTAGAGGCATCGCTAACAGACAGGCTTGGGCAGGGGTAGCCCTGGCATCAGCAAGAGGTATCCCAGCCTATCTTCACGCCGCCCATCTTGTCTGTCCCAGCACGGAGGAGACAAGATGTGTGCAATGAAAATGGGCAGCATTTAATGATAAACACTATTTGCAAGTAATTTACGTCATCATTGTCTTAGCACTCATTTTCCAAGCCTTGGCCCTTGGAAAGCTTCCCTGGGGTTTCCGGAAGGTTCTGTGGAAACCAGCCTTGGGCAGGTGGAGGTGGTGAGTCCAGCCTCATGGAGATGAAGATGGTGAATCCCACTGAGACTTCATGCAGGTGGAGGTGGTGAGTCCCAGTAAGACCTGGTGCCTGTGCACTCCACCTGCCTCCTGAGGCTGTGTCCTTGGAGCTAAGAGCCTAGTGACTCCTCTCCTGCCAGTCCCCGGGAGCATGAGGAATGGCACCTACTTTGGTTCTGAAGAAGGAAAAGAAGTGACAGTCTCCTCCGCTGGTGAAGGAGGGTCTCTCCCTGAGCAGCTCGGTGGAGGCCGCCACGGACCTGCAGGCCTCCCACCAGTCATGCAGATTCCTCACGGACAGAGAGAGGGTCAGGCAGGCTTCTCATCTTTGCCAGGATTCCTGCATCTCAAGGACCGTTTTGTGCAGGCACCTCAGTCACCTGGAAAAGGCTTTAGGAACACAGTCCGAGCAGAAACTGTTCACTGCCCAGCAGCTCCTGTGTGGCCACTACAAGCCCTGTCCCCAGACGTCCTTTATCGTGGTAAAGTGAGGGACTTGGCCAAGGTGATGCAGACCCTATCAGGGTCCTAAAAACCTGAGAAGGGAGGCCACACCGTCAGAGGGCCAGTCCACCCCCGCTCAGCCACCGCGCCCTCTCCGAGGAGCGCCCCGAGGGGCAGCTGTGCCACAGCGGGCTGCGGTGGGCATCATCCAGCCGGTCCCTGATGGTGTCCTGCAGTGCCTCGTCCCCCAGCAGGACCGCCGCCGCCAGGGCCAGCAGGAAGTACTCGGCGGCATCGTGGGCGTCCTGCCCGAGCATGGGACAAAGACACGGCATCAGCAGATGTGCCTGGGCGGGCTGAGAGCGGTGCAGCAGCTCCAGCTTTTCTGCCCCACAGCCCACCCCCACCCCCACCCCCAGAGTCCTGGGGCGCTCCTCTCCCACTCCCTGGCACCCTCTTTCTCAGCACTGAGGGCGCCTCCCCCAGCCTCGGCAGGCATGAACCATTGCTGCCCAGCACAGCACCTCAGGGACAAGTACACAACCCAAATCTGGCCTATCCTTCACTCTGGGACCTTCTAGTGTGACCCAGCAGGGAGATGGCCCTGATCCTCTCAGATGCAGGGTTGCACCTGCCAGTAGCTGAAGAGGGGAGGCCAGAATACAAAGTAAAGTAGAAAACCCAAAGTCCTGAAAAGAGAGAGGTGGGGAGACCTGTGATGACACTTGGAACCAGAAGCCAAGACCACCGGCTATGAAATCTGTGCCCCACTTCCCAGCTGCTTGAGCCAGGACATTGCCTTTTCCCTTCAGGAAGTTCAAATTGCCTTCTTTCCTTTGTAAATCCCTGGCCGATGTGGTCAGATCACAATGACTCTGTCCCTGAAGCCCCTTCTGGGAGCCATGGGGCCGGGGCAGGATGGCGAGAAAGTCCTTCACCACACCCGGCCCTCCTTCCACAGTCAGAATGAAAAACAGATGCTTCTTTGGGTGAGACTCAAAAAGCCTTGCCTGGTTTCCATTAACCCTCATAAATCAATAATTAATTGAGGCCAGAGCAGAGGCTGGCAAATAACAGCCTGAGGGTCCCCTGGGGGCTAACACAGGCCCAACTCGGAAGCTACTGAAGGAAGAGATTAAAGGTTGTGCTGGGGAGGACAGGGACCTCTGACAAAAGAAAGCCAAGCCTGGATACAGGTCAGGGGTCAGAGCTGGCACAGGGAACAGCAGACCCCCAACACAATTGCAGACGTGACCAGAAAAGCAAGAAGACCTGGCTCCAACTCCAGCCCAGCAAGCAGGAGACTCAGGGCCAAAGCCTTCCTGGGATCTAGGCTCAGTCTCACCTGAAGACCCCACACCTCGCTATCTCAAACACAGTCATCCGAACCCCATTTTCGTAAAATATGGTTTTATGTAACTTTACAAGAAATGAGTTGCAGCTGTCCTGTAACATTGTATGGACGTGCTATTAATTTTTATTTTAATGTTGGAGCCTATGGTTCCTTCATTTTAAGGTCTCATACATTTTTGCATTTCCTTGAGAAACACACAGACACTAGGCTATGTGCCCATGCGTGGTCCCTGACAGATAAAGCGACCACAGAAATTACAGTGGGGCAAGGAGAAGGGAGCTGTGGTCTGTCTCCTCAGCAGTACCTCTGGGGTCTCCAGCGAGGCTGAGTGGGAAGAACCATCATGTCCCTGTGGGGCCATCCTACCCTGAGTCTAGACTCCCCATCCTGTCTGCCCTCAGCTCCACCCCAAAGGCTCCTCACCATCTTTGGGCTAAGAAAGAGTACAGTTGGGTGGTGGTCCTCCCATAACCTTGGAAGCCTGGCTCTTACCTGCAGGTGGCAGAAGGTAAGCCGGCCCAGGCGATGATAGACCTTGGCATAGTACAGGGCCTCCTGGGGACTCTGCAGCCAGGGCGGACAGAGGGCCAGAGTCTTCAGGTAGCAGTCTTCAGCCATCTCGAACATGTGCAGGGAGTAATACACTGTTGCCAGGCGGTGGAAGGCCACCAGTTCCTGCCTCTGGTCTCCTAGGAATGGCAACACTGAGAGATTCTGCAACCAGTGCTTGGCATCACCCGTCCACTCATTCACTCTGTGAGATGTCTGGAAGGTCTCCTAGATGTCAGGGATGTGCTCGGGCATAGAGAATAAGACGGAAGAGGACCCTGCCCTCAGGAAGTTTACTGTCTCAGAGGATGCACACATTTCCTAAATAATCCCATAAACAAGCGTAAAATCGCACCCGTATTAAATGCTACAAAAGAAAGTGCTGGGCTCTGTGAAAGTGGCTATGCAGAGGTGTGACTGGTCGTGGTTTTCTGAGATGATTTCCTCAAGAAAATGTTATCCTTATTGCAGATGCCACTGTCATCTAAGACTCTAAAGAATTGGTTCTAGTGGAAAGACTAGCTTGATTGAGTAGCTAAGAAGTTTTTTTTACAACAAATAACTGTGTATAACAAATGTCTCCCCACACAAAGTCTCTCTCTCAGAGAGTTCTCTTGGTATCGCCATGTGGCAGCCTCTCCCTGGCCCCTGACCCTCCCCTGGTCGCAGAGAAGCTACAAAGACCGGTTCACCTTCAAGCTAATGTTCACCTTCAGAGCTGGCTTTCTAACAGATCTATGACTTGTTGTTTGGGCTTTGGTGAGTTTGTGCTTTTAGTAACTAACAAATCATTTTAATGGAATGGTCTTTGGCAGGGAACAAAGGTTTACAACCCTCTTTGGAATGTTTACAAGGTGGCTGTTAGATGCCATCTAAAGACATCACTTTTAAGGTTTGAAGGGCCAAAATTAGCAGAGAAATCCAAGGAAGAGACAGTCTCTGAAGAGAAAAAGCACAGTCATGGAAAGGAAATGTGTAAAGGGCATTTGTCCCTCCTTCCAGCCCCATCCAGGGAGGGTTAAAGAGTGCTGGGGAGCTGCCTGGGTCCCCGAGGTCTTTCTTGAGACTGGCAGACCGTCACTCAGACGAGGCTTTTGGCAGGAAAGAGAAGGTAGGAAAAAGAGCTCTTAAGTGCTATTAGACGAATAAGGGCCAGCGCCATCCACATCGGATGTCCTTGAAAATACCCAGAAGTCCCTTCTGGAATCATTCCAGAAGACGCCATCTAATCAAGGCTTCTCTAATCAAACCTGCTTCTTCTCAAGTACCAACCTTCAAGATGAATTTTGTTTTGTTTTGTCTTTTATTCTGCCATTTTAATGACTTGAATTGGTTCCCACTGGCTTTGGCTATAAACACAAGTTACCTTGGCTCTGCTGTGGGTTAAGTTAATGGAAACCCGACCTTCATTTGCATTTCAATTCTATGGGAAAACATGCTTTTGATTAACCAATTAAAATTTCAAGACACAGTCCTGTTGTAATCGGGGCATAGCCTGCCCATGGGATAAAATACCATCCACCGCCACATGGAGCTAGGGCAGCTTAATCCAGCCATCACTGGATTCAGGCAACCCTGTGAATGGCCATCGTGCACTTAGACTGCTGCAGCCAACATGGACAGTCCTGGCCTTCATGACAGCTGCATGGATGGACGCTGTTTTTAAACTTGAATCTTACAGGAGTTGGGCAGCTTGTTGAATGAAGCAAGGGTCCTGGGCCTGACCCCACGCCGTCTGACCCTGCAGTCTGTGCTATTCTGGCTCTGCCATCCATCCTTGAGACACCCCTAACCATGAGACCCCTTCACCCATGAGCTCCCCAACCTGTGAGACCCATTTGCCCATGAGGCCCCGCACCAATAAGGCGCCTCCTGCTTGTGAGTCACCCCCATCCATAAGGCACACTTGCCCACAAGGGCCCCTTGCCTGTGTGGTCTCCCACCGTTGAGCCTCCCACCTGTGAGGCCCCCCCACCTGTGGCTGAGCTGAGCCTGGCAGCCAACGTGGCGAACTCCAGAGCCTTCTCGTAGCCTTCCAGGCTTATCTGCAGCTCCGTGAGCTTGTGGAAGATCCGGAGCTCGGTTCTCACCGCTTTCATCCTCCTAGCCAAGGGCACAGCCCCTGCCTGGGAACAGAGGTACAGGATCCTCAATTCACCCAGGGTCATGGCACAGTTGGGCACAAGAAGCCTGTGACCCCTAGGGGTGGCGGTGTGCTAAACCTGGGAGTGGCCCCTGGTGCCTCTTCTCATCATGCTCTCCCAGTCCCTGCCCTTGGGGTTTTGCCCAGGTCTTAGGTGTGAAAGAACTGGAGGCAGTTGGGCCTCCTGAAATTGGGGAGGCCAAGAGCAGGAAAGGGGGGAGGACTTTTCCCAAGATCACGGGGGAAACTGTTCACCCCTTAGCTGTGTGCCCCTCGGCCCCCACGCTGACCTACGGAGGACATGCATGAGAAAGCACACAGGGTCTTCACATGCCAACATGTGGTCATTTCTCCTGTTCTTGGTTATGACTAGATTTTAGGCAGGTCACCTCATTTCTCTGGGCCTCAATTTTCTCATCTATAAAACACACATGAAAACGAGTCTCCATGACCATCAGGGATGTGTTTCTTGTTCTCTCTGCTCCTAACTCGGTGCCTGGCACAGGCTGGGCACTTACTCATGTTTAATGACTAAATAAACAACTGAATGGAAGACTGGATATCTGAATAAATAAAATTTAAGATCAAATAAGATAATGAAATTTCCCAAGCTTCAATCAATGATGGACAACAATTGCAATTTTTGACACATCTCCTTCATATCTGGGCATTTATCATTTGTATGACTTTTAAAATCAACTTTTTTCTTTCTTCATCCTTTGCAATAATATCTATGAAATCATGAGTTTGATGAGCCAGAATTATCCATTTTTATGTTTTTTAAAATACATGTTCATTCACACTTAATAAAAACATAGTCAAACAAAAGTGTTCATCTAAATGCCGCTTAAATAATCTCCCACCATGCCAGCCTGATAAACATAAAAAACTGTCCAGTGTCACACACCCAAGAGGTGTAAAGATTATGGTGTGTTATCCCAGGAAAGATCAGGGACCAAACCTGAGAGTGACAAAGTTCAGCAGCTCCATCCCTGAGTATGCAATAGACTGATGAGAGGGTGAGAAGGTGGGCCCTAGACTAAGGGGCGGGAGAGAAATGCCAGCAGAAAAAGGGGAGAGGGAGCCCAGGTTAGAGCCTGGTGTGGCCCTGCCCATGGTCAACCAGGCTGTGACTTACTCGGTAATACTCCACTGCGCGATGCCTGTGGCGCGTCCCGTTGAAGAACACGTCACCGGCCTCTTCATAGAGCCTGAGTGCCAGGGAGGGCTCATCGGACCTCAGGGCTACCTGGATGGCTGCCTGGCAGGAGAGACGGCTGTTCAAGGCAGACAGAAGGGCGCCCAGACTCCCAAAGCATGGCAGGACAGAGAAGCAGACCCCATGGCCATGTGACCCTCTGCTAAAACTCCCCAATCCTACACTGTTCTGCATCCACGGGGCTGAAGGGAGACTCAGAGACTCTAGGCTGTCATTTCCCAGCAGGGCAGGCGTGTAGCTTCTTGGTGGGGCTGGGTTCTCTTTAGCACTGTATAGACAGATGTTTTAGATTTTGCTAGCTAGGCATTCATTTTAATGTGTTTTAGAAAAAAAGACTAATAGTGCATCAAACCTGTGGCTTCAGGCAGCATTGTGTAGAATAAGTGTGGAAAGCTAAGATGAAGTTGGGCCAAAGAAAAATAAGTCAATATTGGTAGAGAGGTACGTGGATGTGCCCCACCATGAACTTGTGTGAACAATTACAGCTAGAAACAGTGATCTAATCCGCCTCCTGCACTTTCCAGACAGAGACATCGAGGCTTAGAAAGAAAACAGAGCCTTACACTTCCAGCTCAAAAGCCCAAGGCAGGGTAGTGAAAGCTCGAAGTCAGACTGACTATGTGTAGTTGTTAGCTCCACCATGTGCCAGCTGTCACTGGGCAAATTATCAGCATCTCTGAGCCCCATCTGCAAAATGGGCGTTAGAGTAGAAATGCCTATTGCACTTGTAGTGAAGATTAAACTGCATCATGCAGTGATGTGTTAGCAAAGTCTCCCACCCTTAGGAAGCTTGCAGCCAGCGTTATATAGCCATTAAGTCTCAATGGAAGAAGGTTTTGCAAGTTTACATAATATTATAAGGGGCAGCAAAAAGAGAAAATAAAACATGAGAGAGGAAAGATAATAGGCATATTTTTGATGGAATAAAACATCTTACATAGCATCATACTATTTAATGTCAGTATTACACAGATAATAATAAAATATTAATAAGATACCATTTATGAAGCATTTGCCAAGTCCTGAGCACTTAGGAAATGCTTGCTATGTAATACTAGCATACAAGTGAAATGTGTACGTGTGTGTAAAATCTAATTCTTACACTAAGAGGGAGGGCTCCCCCACGAGGAAACTAAGGCCCAGAGAGCTCATGTAGCAAGCCCAAAGTCACAGTCAGTCCAACAACTGATAGCCTTGTCATTTGATTCTTTTCTTGCTTCAAAGCCCAGGCCTTTGATCACTGCTCTATGCTGCATCTCAGATATTGAAAGTGTACAAACACACAAAAAGCCCGTAAGAGAGCAATAATGTCAACACCCCAGGCACACCAATCTTACCTCAAGTTGCAGCCAAACCCTGACGCCAAGGTGTGTGTTGAGCTCTGGAAAGACGGGTGTACTTGGCGTGACAGGTGACATTACAGGTGACCCATGAGGACAGTCTTTCCTCACGTCCCCCCAGGGGTCCCCCATGTGGATGGGACTCAGGGATTGACTTTTGCTGCCAAAACACCTGGCTTCCACCCTGTGTGCCAGGAGCAACCCAGAGCTGGCTCTCCCTCGGAGAGCGTGACGTGGGTATCACCCTCTCTGGTTCATCATGTTGGCCAGTCTGGAAGGTTGGCTACCACCCCAGATGGCCTCTATTGGCCAAACCCAGGGCATGATGGGAAGCCTACCTGAAGGTACAGCTCCACCAGCGCATCTTCCTGCAGGAGGTAGTGCAGCCGCCCCGCCGCCAGCCAGGCCACTGCGGCCTTGTCTCTCTCCCCCAGGTCGATGAAGATGCGCAGGCTTTCCTTGATGCACATCAGAGATCTCCTGAGGGACCTGGGGACAGATGAGAACTTGTGAGGCAAGAGGGCCAAGAGGCCTCAGAGTTCACTCGGCACTGCCCCAATCAGCTGCATGACGTTGAAAAAGTAGAGTCTTGCCCCGGCACTTTGGGAGGCTGAAGAGAGAGGAATGCCTGAGCCCATGGGTTTGAGACCAGCCTGGGCAGCTTGGCGAGACTTCATCTCTACAATAAACCAAAAAATTATCCGGGTGTGGTAGCATGCACCTGTAGTTCCAGCTACTTGGAAGGCTGAGGCAGAAGGATCTCCTGAGCCCAGCAGGTCAATGCTGGGGTGGCCATGAGTATGCCACTTCCCTCCAGCCTGGGCAATGGAGTGAGACTTCAACTCAAAAAAAAAAAAGAAAGTAGAGTCCTTCTGTGCCTTGATTTCCCCATCTGTTATTGTACCTCCCTGAGAGGAATAATGTGAGGATTAAATAAGGTAATAAAACGAATGGGCTTAGAGCAGTGCCCACCATGTGGTGAGCCCTTGATGAGTATCTAAATGTTAGTTGTCATTGTTATTATTACCCAACATGGTCCATCCATCTTTCAACTGCATGATCACATTTTTTCATAAGTGCCTGACACAGTGGACACCAGATGTGTTTTTATTGAGCCAATGTGCTGATGAGTGACTATAGTGGTAAGTTCAAATCATCAAAAAAGTTCTTAATGTTTGAAGAAAAATAATCAAAGTATGGTGAAAGTTTTAAAAAGTTTGTGCTTAATCGTGTCATCTTTAGTCATTTGGAAAACTGTATTGTGTAGAAAGCTCTTCCCTGTGACCAAGATTCGTAAAAAAAATTAGGTAGAGGTGAAGAAATGTGGAGTTCCAGAACAGAAAGAAACACTGGGCATAATCTAGATAGTGGTCCTCAACCCCAGGGTCACCCATTCATTACAGCCAAACTCTCCCAGGGTCTCTGAGAGTGGGGCTCTGTCAAGCAGGGATCTTTTTACACAAGTATACACAGCCAGGCTCTCCTCCATGTGTTGAAATTCCAGATAGCCCAACCCGGGGCTGAGGGAGTATGGCTCAGACACCACCAGCATTGTGTCAAAGCTCCCCTGTGAACGTGACCCTACTGTGTGGCTCAGGTTGGGACTGCTGATCTAGTCCAACCTTCCTATTTTACAGAGGAAACAGGCCCAGAAATAGGAAGTGACTCATGCAAGGTTGCACAGAGCAACAGGGAAAGATCCAAAGCCAGAGTCCCCTTCTCCTGAGTCCCAGCCTGGGAACCAACCCATCACACCCATATTTCTCAAAGTGTGGTTGATGACCTATCTGCACCCATGTCAACTGGGAGCTTGTAAAAGGCACAGACCCCCAGAGTGACCTCTCACAGGCTGAACGGAAACCTTGCAGCTTGTGACTTAGGCATCAAATTTCTAAGACTCACCCAGGTTATGCCCACGCACCAAACCATGCAACTCCTAAAAACACGATCATCATCCACCAAGTCTGAGGATCCGGAGGGGGATGTCCTCATCCATTGTGGCTACCATTTCACCATGGGCAACTCAGTCCCAGGGCTCGTACTCGAGATAGAAGCAAGCATGGCCCTTGGCTCACAAGACCCTGGTCCTATCGGCAATGAGGCAGCTGCTGGCCTTCCGGAGAGACTGCCAGGCATTTGGCCCTTGCAAGAACTGGGAAGAAACAACTCCAGCTTTCTCCACTGCCCTGCCCTTGCCCTGGGAGGTACTGACACCCAGGATGGCCCTGGCCACTCGCTCTCACGTGTTGGGACGTGAGACTTGCCTCTGAGGATGTGCTGTGAGCTGAGGATCTCCACACCAGGCTACTGTGGTCACCAGCCTCCACTGAGCTGCAGCCCCCACAGGCCTCACCATAGGAAGCCCTGCTCTCCCCTCCCTGCTCCGTCCCCCAGCCTCAGCAGGGCTAAGAGACTCACTCAGCAGGCCTAGATTCCATAGCTCCACACTCTCCCTGGAGCAGTTGATGCAGACAGGACCTGTAAATCTCATCCAGATCCTATTTCTGGCTGTGTTCTGCACATTGTCCTGGGATGCCCTCGGGCAGTGGTTGTTTTCTCCAGATCCCGCAGGGAGCAAGGTTTGAACTATTCCAGGGAGGCCAACTCACAGAGCTGGCGTTTGCTTCCTGGACTGTTTGTCTCTGATTTCACTAAGACTCTGGAAGAGAAAAGGTTACTATTTCTCTCCAGGAAACACCCCACTAGGGGAAGGAAAGCCCTAAAGAGACCTGCTAGTCACACAGCATGACTGAGACTCCTTGACAACGGAGGATTTTCCACAGACAACTGCCTCTCACGGAGATGGACACCTAACCCATGAGCTGCAGCAGAACCATGAGTTTTTGTGGCCTGCGAGTTTTAGGCGGCCTGCCCACCTTGTTCTCCCGTCGCCACTCGCCCCCGTGACTGGCTGTGCTGTGAGCGGTGAGAATGCCGGCACCTGATTCCTCCAGCCCCACTGCAGGCTCTGGGTCTGACTCAACTTCCAGATCAAAGGAAGCAGGCTTACCACTGGAAGGCCGCATGAGGCAGCCTGTTCTCCTCCAGGCCACCGTACCTGTGCCCTGCCTTGCTGTCTCCTCTCCCTCCACTCTCTATTCTTCACTTTTTCCCACTTTTTCTGTCCCCAGGTTCAGGTCCCGGGGTTGAGTCCTTGTTTCTTCTTTCCTGCCTGAACACCAGCCTTGAATCCATGGCTGAGTGACCCCAACACACCTGCATGCCCAAACTTCCCCTGCCAACCCCTGCTGGGGCTCCCTGCTGCCACTCACCCTGGACAAGCCTGTGTGATCCCTGGCCAAAGCCCAGCCTCTGCAAGCTGGCCTTGACCTGTTTTGATAATAAGGATGGCCACTCACTGGGGGCTGACCCTGTGTCAAGTGTAGGGATATGCACTTTTAACATACACTGTCATTGCATCCCCCTGGGAGCCCTGAGCTGTGAGGGTTCTTAGCCCGTCTTGCAAATAAAGACACACAGGGAGGTGTTTTGTTTTGTTTTGTTTTAAACTTATCCAAGTTTTTCTGCACATGTCTAAGGCTTTATTTTGAGTTCTCTGCTGCTTTGTTTTATAATAATAGTAAAAATGGCAGTATTGCTACCTGGCATTTATTGAGCCCTTAGCGTGTACCAGGTGTTTTACAAATGAAAGAAAAAAAAAAAGCCAAGAAGCATAAGTAACTTGGACCAAGAATAAACCCCGTTTACACCAGGATCTATTCCCTAAGAGTCTGACCCAGTGATCCTCACACTCACACCCTCAAGTAGCGCTTAATTTCTGGCTCAGGTATCAGCATGTGGGAAGACTTTTGCCTTCCTTGGCCGTTTTACAAACCCTGATGTTTCTAAGGACATAAGCTATTTTAAACCTTGCGCAAAGTGTCCTCCACCTGCAGCACCGCATCTGAATAGCCTTATGGTCCATGAAGATGCATCCGCAAAGGCAAGTCTTACCTTAATCAGGATTACAGAAGTGTGAGGGATTAGCATATCAATTATATTAAAAAGCCAAATGTTGAAGCATTTCTTTCAATTCCACAGGAACAAGAGGCATGTATTCACGTGCAAGAAATCAGTCATCATTTTGTGAGCACCTATTACATGCAAGTCATTCCTTCTTTCTAAAAATGAGGTTATATGTCCTCTGGGGCGCTTGCTGCAATTTAGATGATGACTTTGGTGACAATTTTCATTCTGCTTATTTTCTGTACTATTCTGTTCGTGTTGTGAGTTAAGGACTACCTCTCCTTTGTGCAATGTTTAGCACAGTGCCTGGTCCACAGCAATGCCCCATAAATATTTGTTGAATTGATATCATGGAGCCACAAAGTACTCATGGCCCCACCAGGCTCAGCTCTAGAGCAAGGGGCCAGCCTGTGTCATGTCACCTAAAGACAGAAGACAAGACCCCCAAAGAACCCTCCCATTCAGAGACAAAAACTTTTCACACTAGATTCTGGCGTTGTCACCTGGAAGGAACAGAAGGCATGACCCTGAAGGTATAGGACAAAGAGACAGCAAAGTGTCTCAAGGCAAAAACCTGAAGACTGGGACAAGGTTTTCAATGCTAACTTGCCCTCCCCTACCACTTCCCACCTCTACACACTAGAGAAAAGCTTTCACAGAGGAGGAATCAAATCAGTAAAAAAGGCAGCATGTGATAGCAAAAACCACCCTAAATCCTCAAATCGAGAGGTCCAGGATCTGAGTAACACCAGGAAACCAAGTGGTCACATCAGTTTGGACTCTGTAGTAGGCAGGGGTCAGGCCTGATGAAAAATGAGGCAATTCCATCCATACAGTTCCCTGGGGTTACACCCACTGTCTCTCCAGGGTGAGAATTGCTAGTGGGCAGGCAGAATACACAGGGTGCTTGAGAATGTGCATTCTGGGTCTGGGGGGGCAAACTGTGGCCCAGGAGCCAACACAGCCTCCTCCTCTTTTATCCAGAAAGCTTTATTGGAACACAGCCATGCTGCATCACTGATGTGCTGTCTGGGGCCGCTTCCACACTGCAACTGCAGATGGAGTAGGTGTAGGTATGAGAGAACACAGGGCCACAAAGCCTCAGACACTGACTAGCTGATCCTTTATTAAGTAGTTTGCTAGCCCTGTCCAGACTTAGACCGTTTGGGTGTCATCCTTGCTGTGTGGCCTCATACGAATTGTTTGGCTTCTTTAGCCCTCAATTTCCACAACTCTGTCTACCTCACAGGGTTAACCTGAGACTTACATGCTGCTTAATAAAGCGGTGATTTCCATGACATTAGGCCATCGTTTTCACTGTGGATACACATGGTGCCGGTCTGGAAGTATTGCAATCCCTACATGCCCCAGCCTCTGTACCCCTCCTAGGGGACAGGTTGGAGTCTTCTTTCTACCCATATCAGTTAATCACCGGAATGTGTCTGTTAAATCTACAAAATGTCTTTCAAAGGGGTCACTCCCTCCCTCATGCTTGCTTACTGCTGTTTCCTCCACCTAAGGGC